CACACACACACACACACACGCACACACAAACTTTCTCCTTTTATTTTGTTTACATTAGATATCATGCCAAGAAAAAACAATCCGAATTTTGGCGGAATCTCCAAACTGGGCACCCTACCCAGGGTGAAGCGACTCTAAAATTATTGCCAGATTTTGATAACATGTTCGAACAGATAGTTTGTCTTCGGGACCTACCATAAATCTCCTTGGTTTTTATAGTCATTGCAAACTTTTAAACATGTTATCCCAAACAATTTTCTTATTTATTTATAAAAGTTTTGTTGTAAAGATTTCTTTTTCAGTTTCAATATATTATACGCAAGACGCACCGTTGGTCATGCACTTTTGTTGTTCACTATTCGTATGTCAATACACTTGAGCAAGGGCTGAAATGCTCTCCTAACACTAATTGTAGATAGATGTCATATTTGTATAAGGACACTACATTTTTAGAGGTTTGTACTTATCTAATACCTTACCAATTGAGAAAAAACACATCAACTAATGGAACTAAAACTAACATTTCACAACGTTGTATTATTCAGCGACTGCTGTTGATCATTGGCACTGGAAATCCTGTGTGAAAAGACCCAGCAAAAGGAGCCGTTTATTTTCACAATGCATGATCAAAAAGGGATCTGGACCTAGACGGTCATATAATCGGTCATATTTATGATCGCCTAGATCTGGACCTATCTATTTTCTATGCAGTCCATGCTATCATTTTTAAACAGCGAATAAAATAAGGGGAAAAGCTGGCCGGCAGAAAATATTTGGCGTGACAGGAGTTTTTGGCAACAGTTTTGTCTAAAATGCGCACAAAAGCAAAAATCTGGAGTTTTAGGTAGAGTGAAAAGTAAACGAGCAATTCCAAATCTGCATCTTATTTTGTCTGTTTTTAGTTTTAGGATTTTAGGCACCACAAAACAGAAGAGAGAGAGCTTCATCTTGCAAGTTCTGTTTATGAGGGTAATTTTAGGTCTTGATTAGTTCCCTCTCCTCCCTTTCAACCCATGATATACATTTTCTGTGATGTTGATGTAAATTTAGATTCTAGATTCACAGGCCTAGATTAAATTTTCTACAAGTCTGAAAGGCAGAAAGGAGAATTAATCTGAATTGCAATATTTCGAAACTGGAAGTTGAAAGTCTGAGAGTGAGACAACAGTGACTGCGTATGTTAGAATCTAGATATAGATCTAGATCTAGATCTAGATTAGATCTACTTTGTACTCAGGCTAAGCTGTGCAAAAATGTATTTTCCTATAGAATCTAGAATCTAGATCTACCATTATCTTGATGTAAATTCTAAACTTTTTCCTGATTAAGATCTCGGCGCCTTTTCGGTAGTTCGCACCCCGCAATTTTATTCACGGGTTTGGGCCACAAGAGTAGGGGGGTTTCAGGGGGGCTTGCCCCCCTGACCTAATAAAAATAGGAAGGGGGGTTTCAGGGAGGCATGCCCCCCTGAATTTTACCATAATTTAATGTTTTGCAGTTGTTAGGTTTGTATCTTAGCTCACCGCGAATCAAACGTATAGTCAGAGATCTAAATCTAGATTCTAGATGTAGATCTAGGTCAGGCTCAAATAAGGGGGGTGGGAACTACCGAAAAAGCACCAAGATCTCTTGGATCAGGTTAATAAGTTGGCGCTTTTCGGTAGTTCCCACCCCGCAATTGTTATTCGCTGGTTTGGGCCCCAAAACATTTGTTAGGTTTAATATTTTAGCTCGCCGCGCATCAAACGTATAGATCTAGGTCTAGATCTAGATGTAGATCTAGATCTAGGCTCAAATAAGGGGGGTGGGAACTACTGAAAAAGCACCAAAGTGGTAAGTTTGACTTTGGCGCTCTTGAAGTGGAGGATGAAGAAACCCCTAACTCGAACAAAAGAAGGAATTTCATTATCATAACAATTGAAAGTGAAATTCTAGAATTAATAATGCCAGTTTCAGACTGAAAATACATGCTTTGTACGTGTACAACAGCTCTTCTTAATTTATGATCTGGCTCTCCTGGTATTGGTTTATAAAACTCTGTTTTAACTGTCACTTGTCAGTTGTTAAAATTCCTTTGACTCTTAAGCAGATATGTAGAACCGGAATCTGCTGCTGTAACTGTATTTGTAACAGGAGTAGTCTGTTAGTTGTCATAGTCATAGTTTAGGGTAACGAAGTGACTATTCGGACTCGGGTCCGAATATGAAAAAATGTTATTCGGACTCTGATTCTTGTCCAGCATGACATCACTT